CTCTCTCTCTTTCTCTCTCTGTCTTTCTCTCTCATCTGAATGAATGAATGAAGGAATGAAGGAATGAACAAATGTGTACAAATGATACGAAAGACAAAGTGCCCAGCCCAGTATAGGGGGGATGCATGGGCGGGGGGGTGGTGGTGGGTGCCTTGAGGGGGCGGTGAGGGAAGACACCGATGTTCTCAAGATTCTTGGGGTTCACTGACAAGGAAAACACACAGGTGACAGGATGCTGCTGGTTCTGAAGAGGAAGAGATGGCCCCCAGCAGGAGGGAATCAGGCTGGTCTTGAGTAGGAGGCTGCATTTAGGCTGAAAGATGAGAAGATGGGTATTCTGGTATGATCTGTTCCACTCAGGATTCCCTCTGCCCTGCTTTGTTAGCCAGACCTGACATCTGACTGCTGACCCTCTTCTCTAATGTTGATGCTGTAGTTGATATTGAATGTTTCTATTGTTCTGTGATGATTGGAGCCACTTGATCATTTGCAGGTAAGGGCACTTCTGGGCAAAAAAAAAAAAAAAAAAAAAAGCACGTTTATGCATGAAACTAAGTAAACCAGATTTTAGACAATGAATTCGTTTAACTGAAATAAAATGTTCCATGCTATTGCTTTGGTAATTGAGACTATCTTAGCATTAGCATACAAATTAGCCTGTAGACCTAGGCCAAATAAAAATGCTAATAAAGTGTAAGGATACCCGAGATCATTAATACTGAATTTGGTTAGGCTGTTAATGTTAGACAATTTTTACATCTATCGTTTCCACCATGGTCCAGGCAGGTCTGAATATTTTCTAAGCCAATGAAAGATTTTTTGTGCGTCAGATTTTTTTTTTTTTAAATCCAAGGGGATTTTATAATCGGTGGGAATAAAAACTGGAGATGTGTTCTGCATGGGAGGCAAATATTTGTTTTATCTGTCCACTCCGCTTCTCCCCTATCCCCTGCCACCTTAATATTTGAGAATGACTTCATCGAAATGATGCAGGTTTGATGTGCAGTTACAAGAGGTTCAGGTTTCCATGAAAAGAAACTCGTGAGAATCCAACACGTCAATGAAATGTAACAGAGCCATGCACCATGACAGGGCGTTATTCGTATAGTCTCCGATGTGAGTGATAGTCCCGAACTTGCTGGGTGAGCAAGCTGCATCATCATCCCAGGCCACCACGCTGGTTTTCCAGAGGAGTGACTGAGCATGGATCGTTTCAGAAAAATTGGAAATCTATACTTGCATTTATTGAACTCTCATTAGGAACACTGGGCACAATATTATAAAACAAACCAAGCTTCCCACCTTGTGCCTCCTTCCCTGCCCCCGAGGAGAGGCCAATCCACGCTGAGTCCTTGTATTTGTGAAGGACACTGTGGATGATTGTTTACCTAAAAGCCAACCTCGCTGAAACCAGTTTGGCTCAGTAGTTAGAGTGTCAGCCTGTGGACTCAAGGATCCCAGGTTCGATTCCGGTGTAGGGCATGTACCTTGGTTGCGGGCACATTCCTAGTAGGGGGTGTGCAGGAGGCAACTGGTTGATGTCTCTCTCTCATCGATGTTTCTGGCTCTCTATCTCTCTCCCTTCCTCTCTGTAAAAAAAAAAAAAAAAAAAAAAAAAAAAAAAAAAAAATCAATAAAATATATTAAAAACAAATAAAAAAATAAAAGCCAACCTCCCCCTCCACGTTTGCTATGAGCCCACCTGGTGTTCTTCATGTCTTGTGTAGTGGTGTGGTGGAGGAGATGCAGGGTCCTCTTCTGCTCAGGGTGGAACTGGATGAGTGTTACTACCCTTTGCATCTTTGGTTTAGGAAAGGGCATTTGAGCGGTTCTGGTGAATGAGCTGGAGGGGCAGTCTTGCTGGGGGCCTGGGTGGAGAGGTTTCCTTGATGTATGGGGAGAAAATGAGCCAAGGAGATGCTCGCTTCCCCTCTTTCCGTTTTCTGTGATACGTTCCTTCTTTCTGTGATACGTCATTTCTGTGATACGTTCCTTCGAACCTTGCAACCATCTTGGGACCCAGCTCATGGGTATGCATATCGAAATGTATCTGTGCATCTCCATAGATTAGGTGGCCAGAGGGAGCCCCGAGAAACCCTGGACACCATCAGCCATAGCTTATTAGGTTCTGTTATTAGGTTAGGCACCGTATCCGAGATAGGCGCTTGTAATGTGATTCCTTTAATTACATAGTTATTTCCGGAACAGTATCCTACCAGAATCGATTCGCTGGGGTGGACAGCTGATTTCTAGCGTATTTAAAAAACGGAGCCCAAGCTTACAAAGACGGGTGTGTTTAATCCGTACAGAATTCCAAAGGTGATTAGCAATGTTTATATCTTACTAGAGGCCCGGTGCATGAAATACGTGCAAGACTAGGCCTTCCTTCCCCCGGCTGCCGGCCCCGGCTTCCCTCACAGTCCACGCTTCATCCGGAGGGTCGTCCGGAAGGATGTCCGGTCTAATTAGCATATTATGCTTTTATTAGTATAGATATCTGCATAGCATATTAAAGATGTAGTAAATAATGTCATACCGTACTCTAAGCTTCTGGTAGTTGACTATTCTATTCCTTGTGGCCACAGATATCCTCAAGGATACGATCTGGGCAGGAAAAGGTGTTTTCTCAGAGTTGCTGCAAAGATAGATGATGGGGAGATAATCCAGATTTCATCCCGGAATCCGTCAGTGTAGGCAGTAGTTCAGAAAGACATACTCCAGCGTTGTCTCAGATCCGGGTAAATCAGAGCAGTCCACATAACAGTGCTAAACATCCCCCCTCCTTTTTTTTAAATCTCCAGATGCAGTTTCCTCTTCTGTGTGTGTCTGACTGATGTGAACGGCATCAAAAGGCCGTCCTGCCCTCTGGCTTCCGGTCGGATTTGGCCATCAGGATGTACCAGCCGGAGCCCGGTGGAGGGAGATGAGTGCGGTGTAAATCTCCCAGCTTCCTCCTTGGCCAATTCCATTGCTGGACAAAAGGTCACGGGCGTCTGTCAAGGCTGCCCTTTCTGTGCAGAGTTTTCCTGACTGTTCCTTTCCCCTTGTTTCCACAGACCTGGGAGTGTGTGGCCCCATGTTCCGCATTCCCTCATGGTTTCCTGCTCTGCCCGCATCTGTGTTGGGTACCATTTGTTCCCTGCTAGGCCCTGACTGATACAATGGTGTGAACACAATCACTGCAGCCGTGGCAGCTTGCTTGACCCGGCCTGCCCCGGATGGGGGCAGATTTTGTGCAATGAATGAAGGGCTTCCCCCAGCCCCTAAAGGCGGGCAGGAGGCTACCTACATGTCACATGCAAAGGGGATACAGACTATCATAGCTCAGAGAAAACCCTTTCCACCGGAGGGGGGGGGGGGGGAATCTGCAAAGCCTGCCTGGAAGAGATGGCATTGGGGCTGGGGAGGACAGGATTTTTCAAAGCCAGAGCGGAGTGTGAGTCAAACTAGGGAAGAGACAAGAGCTCCAGAAGAGTTTCTGGAAACTTAGTGCTCGGAGGGCCTTAAGATGCCCTTTAGTCCATTTTGGTTCTCCGTCCATCTTCATGGCAGATGTGCAGGCTGGAAGCTGAGATCTGGCCAAGGTCAAACAGCAAGGCAGTAGCATGCCAGGACTCTCACCCTGGTCTGCTAGTCACTAGCTAGTCTTTACTCCACCTTCTAGCTCCACTCTGCCCCAGCTCACCTCAGGCAGCCTACTTGTCAGTCCCTCCTACTAGACTGTGACCTTGAGAGCAGGGCTTCTGTTTTCCTTACCCTTGAACCCCAGTGCCTGGCACAATTTCTGCCATAAAGTAATCCTTATCATCATCATCATCATCAAATGGTTAAGAGGCATCCCTGCCCCTCCCAGGCACCATGCAGATATTTTACATGCACCGCATGCTATTTCCCCAACAACGTGGAGGGGTAGAATGATCTCCATTTTTCAGCTTAGGATGCTGCGGCTCAGAGAGGTGCTCTAACTGCCCGAGGGCACACAGCAAGCAGGGACTCCAGAGTCCCTGCCTCCTCAGTGGACTTTCAATAACCTTCCCTGAATGAATGAACCTGCAAGAAACACTGCCTCCGTGTAAGCGATCGGCTGCCACAGGCCGCCTCTGGAGGCCCGGCCACCTCTGGCCCCGGGCTCAGCCGGGAGTCTCCGGTCCAAAGTGCAGCCGCGGGGCTCAGGGCCCCTCCTGCCGGCTCCGCCCCGGCTCCGCCCGGCTCGCCGGCCACGCCTCCACCCTGGGGACTGGGATCTCTCCTCCGATCCGAGTTTCCTCCGGCTCCAGCTGCTGCCCGAGGGCCTCCGGGCCCTGCAATCTGGAGCCGGTTCCACTCCCCTGCCCCTCCCTTCGCCCCCGCACCCCCCTCTTCAAACTTCTTTTCCCACCCTCTCTCAACTTCAGTCATCCTAGCCCCGCCCCCTTCCCCAGCCACCCAATCGGCGGGCCTCACTCTCGGCGAGGGCCCGCCCCCCTGCCCGCCGGGAGCCAATCCGAGCGCCGGGCCGGTGACGGCAGCGCGCCGGGCGCCGGGCGCGGGGCGGGAGGGAGGCCGGGCGGCGGGCGGCGGGGGCAGGGCCGGCGGCGAGGCGCTTGCGGCGGGTTTGAAAGCGGCAGTTTCCTGGCCGCCGGGCCAGGCGTCGGTCTCCGCGCTCCGGCTCCGCAGCGGCGATCCAGGCACCAGTGTCGGGGGGGATCGTGCGCGTCCCCGACGGATGGCTCCTGCCCCGGCGCCTCCCCGCTGACCGCCCGCCCGCCCGCCCGCCGCCCCTCAGCCCCCGCCTTTCCCGCCGCCGCCGGGCGCGGAACCAGAACCGGGGCCGGCGGAGACCCGCGGACGCCGGGGACCCGGCCCGGCACCCCCGGAGCCGCCGGGGGCGTCCCCTCCTCCTCCCGCCGCCGCCGCCGGGCAGGGCGTCTGAGGGGCGCTCGGGGCGGCCGGGCCCGGGGCCGTGTCCGCCGGGGGGCCCCGCCGCCGGCCGGCGGCCCCCATGGTGCGGCGGGGCCGGGATGTCGAAGACGCTGAAGAAGAAGAAGCACTGGCTGAGCAAGGTGCAGGAGTGCGTGGTGTCCTGGGCCGGGCCGCCCGGCGAGCTGGGCGTGGAGGTGCGCGGCGGCGCGGAGCGCGGCGAGTTCCCGCACCTGGGCGCGCCGGGCACCTGCTGCGTGCTGTCCGGCCGGCCGCCCGCGCCGGGGGACGTGCTGCTGGAGGTGAACGGCACGCCCGTCAGCGGGCTCACCCACCGCGACACCCTGGCTGTCATCCGCCACTTCCGCGAGCCCATCCGCCTCAAGACCGTGAAGCCGGGTGAGTGTCCGCTGTGCCGGGCGGAGGGGCGGGCCCGGGGGGGGGGGCGGCGGCCCGGGGGGGGGGCCCTCCCCGCCGCCCGATGGGCCCCGCGATCGCAGCCCTCCGGGGGCGGCGGGATCCCCGTCTGCGCCCGGGCTGCTCCGGGCGCCGTCACCGAGCAGCTCCCCCCCCCACGCAGAGTTTTGGACTCGCGTGGACGCCAGCCCTTCTCCGTCCTCCTTTGTGGAAAGGTCCTCCTGGCGGCGGTGGCGTTGTCTTTGGAGCAGGGAGAAGGGTCGTGGCGGCGGAGGGAGTTTGCGCCAAGGTTACCGCCCGGCTGGCTCTGCCCGCCCCGGCGGCCCCCCGGGGTGCGGGCACCCATGGCGAACGGCGCAGGATGTGCCCCCCGAGCACGGCGTGTGCCTGCAGCGATCTGCTGTGGACCAGCCTGGGCTTCCAAGCAGGAAGACCTAAGGCGCCTGGCAGAGTGAAATCTTGTGTCCCTGTTGGTTTTTTTTTTTTACAGGATTTTATGGACGGGGGTGGGCAAAAAGGGCCCCCTAGTTGTCCTGGCGTCTCTAGGCTGGTAAAAAAAAAAACGGCTGCAAAACAGCGTTGCGTTGATGACATGTCCTGTCAGTTTCCCAGCCGGGCTGAGCCGGGAGCCGTGCCATCCGAGCGCCTGCGCCAGCCCTTAGCGTTTGCCATGGAGCGGGTCGGGTTCAGCATCCCTAGGAGGTGGCTCTGCTCTCTGAGCTGTTCGCAGGAGAGAGGATTAGGACCACAACGTAGTTAAACATCGGGCTGTTTCTGCTGAATGTGCCCGGCTGCATGCACGGTGCACCAGAACAGAACGGGCTGCCTGATTGTGACCCGGGCTAGAAAAAGCAGTCCATCCCTTTCCGCAAAAATGCCAGAAAATTCTGGAGAAAAATGCAATACATTATTTTCCCTATGTGCCCACCCCCATCCACCCCCACACCCCCATCTCAGCAAGCTGGGGAAATGCTGCTTTAATAGTCCTTGAGCTTGACTGCAACGGCTGGTTCATGGTGCATGATACATATGTGCATATATCGTGGGTGTATGTGTACACAGACGCACTCACATGTGCCTGCCACCTTACACGGAGATCTTTTTCACACGGTCTGTTCCGGCGTATTCATTTGAAGCTGATCCGTTTGTGTGAGCTTTTATTTATTTATTTATTTTTATTGCTGTTCATCTTTAAAACTTTGGGAGATTTAAACACACCTTTTCCTGTATAGTTTTGCGAATTCAAAAATTCCTGACTCAGACTTCCGGAGCCCTATGTGGAGGGCAGAGGGAAGGCGTGGGGGCCAGTCAGGTTCTGTCTGGAATGTGACGATCCTATATGCCCAGCACTGACTGGTTCAGGTGCTGGTGGGTCAGGGACAACGGAGATCGTGGGCATCATGGCTCTGTGTTTGGCTTTGATTTGTTGGGGCACAGGTGAGAGTATATCTTATTTTCAAAAACGCTGTCAGAGTTGATTGGTGAAGGAAGGAGTTTATAGCCTGGGGAGCGGATCTTTAATTAAAACTAGTCTGGTCTGCATATTATACATTTTCTCAGCCTTTATACCAGATTTCAGAAAAGAATTCATACTTAGAGAGTATTTAGTAATATTATCTGTGGGGAGTAAACATCCTATGTCCCAGAATGTCGTTGACATTGATAGAGCAATATGACATTTTACTCTTGGCCTGGCCGGGTAGCTTGGTTGGTTAGAGCATCCTTCTGATGTGCTAAGGTTGTGGGTTCGATTCCTGGTCAGGAGTTTCTAAAAAGGGTACCACAGTGTGTCATCTAAGATTAATAGTCTTGTTTCTAGGCAAGTTGTAATGACAAATTTTTAATCTCTTAAAAATAGTATTGTTAATTTCTTAACAGCCTCATAGTAAGCATTATGTTAAATGGCTTTCTTAAATGACTTTGCTTAAACATTTATTGTAAAATAGAAAGATTTTTGCCGGTTAAGCGCACGGCTTTAAATATCAGAAGTTAAGGACTCGAAGAAGTTATTCGTAGAACTTTGTGATTAAAGACCGAATAGAGGTCACCTTCAGAGGAGACAAGGTTCTGTGCTGTGGGTGTAAATGAGAAAAGCAGGGAAACACGTTGAGGAAGGGATCTGGCCCGGGCCCTGTTTGTTTTTCTTCCTTTCATCCGACTTTGGAGGGAAATGGATTTTTCACTTTAATCAGTATTGACAAGTGTACTTAGCACTCTGCCTCTCATCTGTTAGTAACTCTCCGTTAAACTATGTTCATAGCATGTCCTTTGGAAACTAGCACAACGCCAGAGTACATGTAACCCTGCTATAAGGTGTAGAAACAGCAGGCATGATCTTGTATTGTCTTCGGACAGAGTCCATGGTAGAGGCATGAGCTGGGCCATGGGGGTGAGCTGGGCCGTGGGGATGAGCTGGGCCGTGGGTGGGGGAGGGGTGAGCTGGGCCGTGGGGGTGAGCTGGGCTGTAGGGAGGGGGGAGAGCTGGGCGGGCGGGGGGTGGTGAGCTGGGCTGTGGGGAGGGGGGAGAGCTGGGCGGGGGGGGTGAGCTGGGCTGTGGGGAGGGGGGAGAGCTGGGCGGGGGGGCGGTGAGCTGGGCCGTGGGGGGTGAGCTGGGCTGTGGGGAGGGAGGTGAGCTGGGCGGGGGGGGGGGGGTGAGCTGGGCTGTGGGGAGGGGGGAGAGCTGGGGGGGGGTGTGAGCTGGGCCGTGGGGGGTGAGCTGGGCTGTGGGGAGGGGGGTGAGCTGGGTGGGGGGGTGTGTGTGAGCTGGGCCGTGGGGGGTGAGCTGGGCCGTGGGGGGCTGAGCTGGGCTGTGGGTTAGGCTGCTGAGCACTGATTCTTCCCGCTTGCTCCTGTTCATCGAGGTTCTAGGCGATGCTAACAGGAGCCCAGACGAAGCCTCCCCATCACCCAGTGACTCCGTGGAGGTTCTTCCCAGCAGTAACTGTCTAGCTTTGATTTGGGGCTTTGATTTTTACTTTCCTTTGTTCTACTCTTTAAGGAGCTTTGAAAGTCCCTCTTTAAAATACGGTTCCTACTTTGAGGCTTCTCCTGTGAGAGCTGGGGAGTTTCTGGCTGAATTCTTCAGTATTATTATAACTGCCCAGCATCAGGACTTTCCTGCTTCCAGGAGAATCCTTAGTCCACCTGTTCTTGAACCCACCAGTCACCTGTTTCTTAACTACAACCCTGCGGTTTATTTTCCTGCACAAACTTTTCGCTTGAACTTTGTGTGCTGTCCTCATAGTAAAGGAAGCTGAACTTTGAACTTCTGACGAAATCGTTTCATGATACAGTTCTGTGGCCGCGATTAGTTTCTTTGATTTTACTTCAAAGTATATACTCTTAAGCCATTTCTACCCCTTTCACTTGTGGGTGTTTTCGTTGCTTTTGTCGAGCGGGTCATTTGGGACTTGCGGTGAGTTTTGTGTAGATGGTTGTCCTGGTTGAACAAGAGAGGAGTGAGAGAAATTAGAGTTCATTGCTAGCCTAGATTGGCAATCCGAACTTTTCTCCTTCCCCCCTTTTTAAGGAAAAGAAACTAGAGATTGGGTGAGCCACCCTTGTGAGGAAAACTAGTATCAAACTGCGTAAACTTGAACTTTGAAACTTTCCTGCTGTCCCAAATTTTGGGCGTCGAAAGCCAGTCTTCCTAACCCAAGGTTCAAGTTCTGGGCTCCATTCATTTGACACATGCGACTCCTGCGTTCTGGGCTTCCTCCCCTGCGGCAGAGCAGATGCTTAACGTTTGGCCTTTTCACTTTTCAGGTCGTTTTTACTCTCTTCAGTTTAATGCTAACACTGATTTTCTTGGCACACCACTCAGCGTTCCTTGGAAAATATAGGGTGTTCCCCCAAAATGTATACACGCACTGTGAATAATCATAAAGGCAGTGTTTATTAAAATACACGTATTTCATTTTCTGAGTTGAAAATGAAATACGTGTGTATACTGGCTACGTTTTTTTTTTTTTTTTTTGAGACACCCTGTATAAACTGTTTTTCCTCTAAGACCCTGAGAGGTACTTGTGAAACCCCTTGCCCTCCCTGGTGTGGTTCATTGGTCAGAGCGCTGGCCCTTGGACTCAAGGATTTGATTTTGATCGAGGGCGCGTACCTCCATCGCAGGCTCGATCCCAGCCCTGGTTGGTGGGCAGGAGGCAACCAATCTGTGTGTGTCTTGCCAATTGATGTTTCTCTCTCTCTCTCTCTCTCTCTCTCTCTCTCTCTCTCTCTCTCTCTCTCTCCTCCTTCCCTTCCACCCTCTCTAAAAAAAAATCAATGGAAAAAATATCCTCGGGTGAGAATTAACTAAAAATAAACAAATAAAACAACAACAAAAACCCTACCCCCTCTTCTTACAATAGGCAAATTTCAGTGACTTCCTCCCCCTTCCCCTGGTCTCTAATTTATGTGAACTGATGGTAAACCAAATCTACATGTGTTCAGGTATCTGACTTCCGCAGTCATGCGTCATCTCAGGGGAATCCATTCATAGCGTGGCTTTCCTGTGTAACCCCCGGGGCTGTGTCAGTCCTGTGGGCACTCAGTGTTTGGGGAGGGAGGGGGAGAAGAGAGTGTTGTAGGATTCCATGTTTATGAACCGTTTCCATATCACCTGCCAATTTTAAACTTCCAGTTTCCAAGTCAATTCCCAGTGGTCTGAGAAAGGATAAATGTTTGGTATCAAAGACTGGAACTGTGTCTCCTTTCCTTAATTGATCGCTTTTGTTTCTGGTTGACATTCTGGGAAGTAATGTCCTTGCAGTATGAAGTCTCGGCGGAGAGCATGAATATCCTCACTTAACACTGTTGCTAAGGAGAGGATCCTCAGGGGCGGGAGGCTGTGCTGTGAGGGCCTGGGAGTTAAAGAGGCATCTTCATCGCTCTGCTGCTCCCCGGGCAAACATTATTCGGAATGTTTTTTTTTTAAAAAAAAAAATGCTTATTTTGCTTTATAAAGAGAACCTAAAAAAGCTATATCA